TTGGTACAGGAAAAGGAGTACAACAAGGATGTATATTGTCCCCTTGCTTATTTAATTTATATGCAGAGTATATCATGTGAAATGCCAGCCTGGATGGCCGGGGGAAATATCAACAACCTCAGATATGCAAACGATACCACTCTAATGGCAGAAAGTGAAGAGGACCTCAAGAGCCTCTTGCTCAGAGTGAAAGAGGAGAGCGCAAAAGTGGGCTTGAAGCTCAACATCAAAAAAACTAAGATCATGGCATCTGGCCCCATCACTCCTTGGCAAATAGAAGGCGAAGTTGTGGAAGCAGGGACAGACTTCACGTTCCTGGGGTCCAAGATCACTGCAGACGGTGACTGCAGCCATGAAATTAAATGACGCCTGCTCCTTGGGAGGAAAGTGATGGCAAACCTAGACAGCATGATAAAAGGTAGAGACATCACCCTGCCAATAAAAGTCAGTATGGTCAAAGCAATGGTATTCCCAGGAGTCATGTACGGCTGCGAGAGTTGGACTATAAGGAAGGCCGAGTGCCGAAGAATAGATTCTTTTGAACTATGGTGCTGGAGAAGAGTCTTGAGAGTCACTTGGACTGCCAGAAGATCAAATCAGTCGATCCTAAAAGAAATCAACCCTGACTGTTCCCTGGAAGGCCAGATAATGAAACTGAAGCTCAAATACTATGGCCACCAAATGAGAAGGGAGCACTCCCTGGAGAAGAGGACCCTGATGCTGGGAAAGATTGAAGGTCAAAGAAGACGGGGACGGCAAAGGATGAGATGGTTGGACAGTGTCATCGACGCAACGAACATGAAATTGAGTGAACTTCAGAGGACAGCAGAAGACAGGAGGGCCTGGCGTGATGTGGTCCACGGGGTCGCGAAGAGTTATGGCTGCCAGGGGAGGAGATGGAAGCGACTCTTCTCCTCTTTTGCTCACAACTAAACTGCACCTGAGCCACTACAGTTGGGTAGGAAGGGTGTTGAGATGCCGCCTTATCTTTAATCACCACCTACTCCTTCCTAGGCAGAATGCAGTTTGGCTCACTTTCTCGAGCCATCTGGAATGCTTAGCTCCAAAGGCACGTTTTCTGTTTCAGCACAGCTTTGCTCCTCTCTTCACTGCAGCATTCTGGGGCCCAGCTGGTGCTGGCTGACCTTTGGGGAGGGTCGCCCTATTTGGGGGTGCGGGTGGGCGCTGGACTACTTGGTTATTGTTTCCACTGATCTGACGCAACGGCTCCTCCTGCCCCCTCGAAAGAACGGCGCAGAGCTCCAAGCCAGACTTTGGCTGCTCCCTCGGAACGGTCTCCTCTGGTGCCCATATGCTCTGGCACCCCAGCATTATCAGTTGCTGGGCAACCTAACCCAGTGGAGGCAAGCGAATGAAGCCATGTCTTTGATTAACAGGGGAGAAAAGCGACTTGTGACCTGGAGAGTGAAGCTGGATACCAATTGGGCTGTGGCTCAGGAGGGAGGAGCTGCACCGAAGAGGGCAGTCGGGAGGAAGGGTCCTTGTGTCCCAAGGGAGAGAGGCCCCTCTCCTTACCCCCCCCACCCCCCCCCCCCCGGCAGCTGTGGCAGCCACAAGGGAATGCTTCCCTTCCTGGCAGTCAAGTACCAAGAGGTGCCGCCGCGGCCACCCTGAGGGGCTCTCCGGGGTCTCAGGCAGAGCCCGCCGAGTCCCAGCTCGGAAGGCCGGAGTCGGGGAGGCCACTCAGAATTTATTTTATTCGACGTATATCCCGCCCTCCCCATATAGCAGGATCAGGGCGGGTCCCATCAGATTTGATACAAATACAATATACAAAAATTAACGCAATTAGAACAACCATAAAACACAGCACTCTCCTGTATCCGGTGCAGGGGTCTTTAAAATTAAGGCCTCCCAGATGCCATCTGTGGTGTGCAGCTCTGACCAAGGCTCCCTGCCCCCCAGGTGCCCTCGATGTGCGGATTTAGATATCCGCATGCAGGGGGCACCTTTGCTGTTAGATATATAGATATGGAGCAGAGGTCCATCGGTGGTGGCTATTAGCCACAAGATATAGATAGGGGCTCTGGGGCAAGTGATGCTCTGTATTTTTGGTACTTGGGAGGGCTTCTGGTGTCCTGGCCCCACTGCTGGACCTCCTGTGTTGGACTGGATGGGCCATTGGCCTGATCCAGCATTGGCTTCTCTTATGTTCTTATGTCTGGGGCAAGGGATGCACTGTATTCTTGGTGCTTGGGGGGGGGCAACAGTGGGAGGGCTCCTGGTATCCTGGCCCCACTGCAGGACCTCCTGATGGCCCCTGGTATTTCTGGCCACTGTGTGACAGAAGAGTGTTGGACTGGATGGGCCACTGGCCTGATCCAGCATTGGCTTCTCTTATGTTCTTATGTCTGGGGCCAGGGATGCACTGTATTCTTGGTGCCTGGGGGGAGGGGGCAAAAGTGGGAGGGCTTCTAGTGTCCTGGCCCCACTGCTGGACCTCCTGATGGCACCTGGTATTTCTGGCCACTGTGTGACAGAAGAGTGTTGGACTGGATGGGCCATTGGCCTGATCCAGCATTGGCTTCTCTTATGTTCTTATGTCTGGGGCCAGGGATGCACTGTATTCTTGGTGCCTGGGGGGAGGGGGCAAAAGTGGGAGGGCTTCTAGTGTCCTGGCCCCACTGCTGGACCTCCTGATGGCACCTGGTATTTCTGGCCACCGTGTGACCCAGAGTGTTGGACTGGATGGGCCACTGGCCTGATCCAGCATTGGCTTCTCTGATGCCTTTATGAGAAGGGGAGGTGGGTTGTCCTTGCCTTCCCCTGCAGAGCCTTCCTGGGTGGTCTCCCATCTGAGTGCTGGCCCTGCTGACCTTTGGAGATCTGAGGAGAGGGGCTTCTCTCTGCCCCACTCTCTCCCCCCTCCCACGTGACTTTCCCAGACTGCAGTCGAAGGGCGCCTTTTGCAAGTGAGGCTCAGAACGCATTTAATGCTAACATATGTTTATTACATTTGTGAATAGGGTTGATTTGCAGGCTCACTGCGGGAAACACGGCTGTTTAATTCCAACAATATAATGTCTCAGGTCTCTGCCGGGAACCTTAATTACTGGAAAGTGAATGCTGATTTTGACACAATGTAAACACTGTAAACTCCCCCCCCCCTCTGTTTGCAACCATCCAGTTGCTTAGAGGCAGAGGAGGGAGCTGGAGGGGGCAGGGGTCCCGGGTGGGGGTCCTTCAGGGGTAAGCCCCCTCCCCTCCCCCTCGTGTGTTGCTGGGTGCAGAGGAAGGCACTCTGCAGGTGCTCAGAGACTGCTCACCTTTCTGGCGCAGGAGCCCTTGCCTGCAATCCCGGGACCTGGGTGCTGATGACTCTCTGGGGAGGAAAGGGCGCTCTGTGCAAACGCAGGAGCACTCTGTCCGCGTTGCAGCCAGCAGTTCAGGTTGAGAGTGCGGCAGGGGGGGTGAGCACTGGGGCCCGTCTGCAAATGCAGAGCAGGGGGCAGAAGGGGGTGTGGGGAAGAGGCGCACAGGGATTATCTCAACGCGCTCTGGCGATTCGTGTACTTCATTCATATGTCCAACCCGTTCCCCTCCCTGGAAGTTTTTTGGGTTTTTTGGCCTTCTTGTGGGCGTGCCGGGGGTCGGACTAGATGACCCCGAGATCCCCCACCCCTCCGGCTCTCCGCGTCCTGCGCCTTTCGCGTCGCTGGACTAGGGGCGGCTGCTGCAGCCGCGGAGAATGCCGA